TTAGGAAATAAAGAAGAAACAGTAAAAAGTAGTATTTTTTAAGATAAATTCTAAGTTCAAGGGGAGATAAATTTGAAAATATTGGTGCTAGACTTTTGAATTTTGTCACATAAGATGTGGTAGAGAATAAGGAACATATATTTGAAGTTTGAAGTTGATACCTTAAGAAATGACAAAGTTATAGTGAAAAATATTTTACTGCACCAAAACTTTAATCTGAAATCTGGACGCGGACATAGCTTAATCCATTTACTTCTTAAATACTTTTCGCTTGAGCAGCCTAGTTATGGCCCACTCTCAGCGTCAGCTTTTAGAAACGTATAACGTATATGCAAATCATCAAAGGGCGTCCTAGCAAGAAATGCAGCAGGTGAAGATGAACTAGTAGACATATGATGACAAGATAATCCTTCAATGGTTAATTTGTTTTTACCAGAATTGTTTATCACTTATGAATGAATGGACGAAAGACATTGTTCATTATGAGCTTTGATTGGCATGCTAGAGATTAGAATATTACTTGTTATTTCTTTATGATCGTGATTATTAATAGCAACGGATATACATGTATACAATCATTTATATTCCATATGTGTAACGCATGATCAACACCACACTTGTTTAATTGTCCCTCATTATGTTATCGCTATTAGCGAAGACCCCCTCTTAATATATCTGTTCACATTTAGTAAAAATATGACACTGGTTATATTACCATGTTGATCATGTTGAGCATAATTGTTTATTATACAATAATTGTAATATCTATTTTAAGTAAAATAAAATACAGATTTTATGAATATTGTTTTCTTTTCTTTTTAGTGTTTTATGTGCTATTTTGATACTGAGTTTTTACGTTTACTACTCTTTTTTTTTATTAAATTTGTAAAATAAATTTTAAGAATTCAATTGTCATATTGACCGACGATAATAAGTCAAAACTTAACTGGAAAAAGTCAGTAAATTATGGTTAATCTTTCAATATATAATATTGTTTATTCTTAAACCATGTACATGTACATTTGTATTTTTCCTTAATATTTTTAAATTATCAATCAATTGAATAATTTTAAAATCTATTTTGTAACTTTGAATAATTCCTCGGCATCTTTACTAAACACGAATAACAAATTAAATAAAATGTTTCAAAGTTGATAGTGTCATATTAATACCATAAAAATGTACCATTTTTATTGTTTTTATCTCATATAGATAAAATGAAACATGCTATTGTTGTTGGTGGTTTTTTCCGAATTGTATGTTTATGTATAATAATAATCAATAAATTTGAGAGTTGATCTAATAATAATCAATAAATTTGAGAGTTGATCTGTGTTTATTAATTATTGTAACCAGACTAAGTGACAAACATTCATTTTGGAAAAAAGCTTATTTATCTGTAAAATATTTGTTCTGTTCTGTAACGATATCAAACATCTAATCCAAAACCGGGAGAGACCGTACAATAAACGTGTGATACTATTCGCCGGTCACTAGTAAATCCCGGTCAAAATAGACCGGGAGAGACCGGGAATTACCGATAGGAGTACATCCCTCTATAAATAGATTTTCGGAATGTTTAGGTCAATAACTCATCTTTCGGATACATGTACAACAATAACATACCATAATAACCCACTGTGTACTACAAAATGATAAATAAAAAACCCCGAAGAGCGCTATTTATTGACGGAAACGGTTATTTCATTTGAAAATGTTTGCATTGCGAAATTCTCTAGTTCGCTATTCATTGTACATATCGCGACATTTCATTTTTAATTAATAATCAAGCACTCTAATACCGATCGGAATGATCGGCTTTTATTTTGACCGACTAAAAGGCTCGAGAAGTTGCTGTCGCCCTTTCACAAAATCTGATTTCATTCCATAAAGGGCGCCGCGCTTCGGCGCGGACGCCAATAATGTTTATTTTTCTAAATACAGCTAGTGGTACGCGTCCGAGTTTTCCGTAAAATGCGGAAAGGTTTGTTGAATGTTTCACGCCTAATACACGATGTTACAGTTCTATGTCGGTCGCCTCATGCACCCCCCCCATTTTTCACACCAAAAATTTAGAATAAGGCCAACCAAACTGTCAAATAAACTTATTTTTGTATGCTGAAATTCAAGATCATGAACAGCGCTTCCGACCTAACCTTAAAACAGCTTAAAACTAGCGATGAAAAAGAAACAAAATATTCTAATTTTGTTACAAATATCCAACGAATTATAACGCATTCAAAGTTTAAAGTAGCTTTGGTTTATAGAATTGTAAATAAATGCACAATCACAAATAACGCGGATCCTTACCAAACATGCATTTAAAATGGTTAAACAAACTATCGAGATTAAGATTATCAGCCTTTAATGGTGCCTTTTTTAAAGAATTTTCGAATGTTTTTCCAAGATTGTCTATTGAGATTTAGCTAAATTGCTAACTTTCTGTCCTACATATTAAATGTTTTGTTCTTCTCTTTATTATACTTAGTTCAAGCACGCATGAACAAACCCATGTTTTCATTTGTTTTTTTAAGATCAAAAATATAATGTGCGCGTTTAAACTCATTTTTTTGCCGAAACGAAGTTAGCAACCAATCTTTGCTTGTTTTTCTAGAGTGTATGGTAATATGTTTTGTGTAAGATTATCGAAGATTTTATGCGCACTATTAGCCATTTATGTGGTGCGTGAGATGCGCGTTCGATAATGTGATTAAATGCATCTTGTTTAATAGTGACCTATGCACGAAAAAAAAGTTGTTTTTTGTCATCCGATACTATTTTATAGGTCAAGGGAGCTGGGTTAACCGGTGAATTCGTGCACGTGCTAACATTGTCGTCTGCTTAGCGTAGCGAACATTTAAACTCCATAGCAGCATGATCTCATATACTGAACTGCGACACAGTTTCAAAGTCTAAAAAGTTTAATAGTAAATTATTTTCGGTGTTAACAAAAGGAAATTTCCTGGTTCGTTATTTAACCGGCCATTTGCAATTTGTAACCCAGCAGATAGTCATAGATCTATAAGTCGCCTACCATTGTGGTCAATAGCTGTATCTTTGTTTACTCGAGGTGGAATAGATACCTTTGTATTTAATAAATCTCAGATTTGATCTAAATATTTGCCAAAAACAATGAAATCCTCTACTATTTAGGTCCCCGTTTGGTTTCCCTAATATGGTAAAAGTCCGTGCACACATCCACGTTGTCATTCAATGGCGAATATTCGTAGTGCTTTTGTCGTTCAATTTTACATTTATGTCCGGATTGGTTAAACACATATCCTCTTCTGACATTAGCACATGTATTCTCCAAAAATTTTGATTAAAACGAGTATTTAAATGCTTTTAAATCCATTTTTGAGAGAACCGAAAAAACATGTTTAAAACAGTGATAGCAAAAGACATGAAAGATCTTGCGCATTAACCCTATATAACTATTGAATAAATATTTTCATTCACTATTTCACTACATGCTAATTTTTTTTAATTCACAACTGGTATTGCAATGACGCGCGATATTTCAACAAATGTGTACGTCAAAACGGAGGGAAGTTATACGTAAAAGCGAAGTATTCGAGTATGTAGCATAGATAAAAGAAAGATGTCAGCATAAAGGCATACACTAGTGAATATTATAAAATTGAAATGAAGAACATGATGTTTTACGGATAAAAAGACGCAATTCTGCCGCCGCCTATAGGGGGGCTCTTAGACATCTTGTTTACAGAATAAAGCTTAAATATGTACATGTTTGCATACCAACAAATCACCAAGATCTATGTGTTTTCCAATTTCGGTAGGAAATTAGCGAGCTACCTTAAAAGTTATAGAAAAATAAGAAAACACATTTTTAACTTCAAATGATTGGGAAATGATTTTTTGTGAATTTTGGTTGATAGCAGTGTTGTTAAAAACATCTCTCTACGTAGTAAATTAAGAATTCCACCTGAATATCTTGAAATGAGTATTAGGTTCATCCAAATACCCCCTAAAAGATTTCAAAAATCATTATTGCACTCTGAAATATACTTGCCAGTGACGAAATGTTTACTCTACAAGAGTAGGATGTTTAAAAACACGATATTGACTAATAAATAAACTAATTAGGGCCACATTATAATAAAGTAGAGTTGTTCATGTCTGACGCTCCATCTCAACATAGCAATGCGAAACACTATCTTTTCTTAACGAACAGTACATGTGAAGAGGGATAATATACCACAACCCAATATACCATTTTTCACAGTATCTTACCACTGGTAAGTGGTTAGTAAACGACCTATGCTGTAATGTGAAGCCACATACAAATAATTATCGATGTGCAGTGAAATGCCAATGATAATTGTCGAAAAAGAAAATTTCCATGTTTTTTAATTTAAACTGTGGATGTCAACTGGTTCTTGCAAAACATAAATAAATGCAAATAAGGTTGTGCAAAGTAACCTATACAGCAGACGAAACAAGATATCATTGGATATATTTTATGGGAACATTCCACGAAAAGCATGAAAAATTAGGGTGATCTAAATGATTTTGCAGTAATTTCTCTTCAACAACTGTATAATCACAATTATTTCTTTAATTTAAAGTATGATTAATTGTTTTTTAAATTTTTATGCACTGAACATTTTTAAAGTAGCTCCCTCTTAAACATTAAAAATTTGAAAAGTTTAACATATAATCAGACAGGGACAGTTAAATGAAATATATGTAGAAAGTTATTGATCTATAAATTGATTTTTAGAGCATATTTTCAGACCAACTTGCAGTGTTTAATTTTTCGATAATTTAAGTAAATAAATGTTGTCTTCAATAAAAGTGATAACTTTTGAAAAAGGCAGTGAACATCTTTTAACGTTCTGAAATTTTATACATAATATTGGTATAGACCTAAATCAAATGGTATAAATATTTTGAAAAAAAGTTACCTCAGAAAAGAATACCGCAGATGAGCCCCCTTAATAAATACTGCCATCTTAGAATATATTTTTAAAGAATACCTTTAATTGCCGCTATTTCTGAAGATTTATTGTTGAAGTCTTGTCTAAGGTCTTCAATTTCTTTTTTTTGGTCCTCGAGAACATTCTTCTGTTTGTCAAAATCTGTTCGAAGTATATAGTTGTAAATATGGCATCGGTGAGTGGCGAACAATGTAAGATAACAATGGGTCACCAAAGATAAGAACAATAAAAGGCTTCATTACAAAGTAAACCAATGCAAGAAGAAGGTGTCATAAGTATGTGAAAAAGTAGTGGTCTGATACCAAATTTGAATTCAACATGTACTGTATGATGTGATATATGTGTACGAAAAATCATCATAATCTATTGTCCTATTAAAGAGTTATAAAAGGGGCCATAACTTTGTGAAAAAAAGAGGACTTTGTGCCTGAATTTGAAGTTGATCTGTACTTTATAGTTTTACATCTGTCACCTATGTACCAAGAATTATTATAATCCATTTTTTGTTAAAGAGACTAATCGACCGGAAACCATGTTTTTCATAAAATGATGTAGGCTAAAAATGTGACATTACTCTGTGAAAATAAAAGTATGATGTCAAATTCGAACTTGAACTGTATTTTATGATGTTACATCTGTGAATAAAAAAATAGTAAATCGATTGCCTCTTGTAAGAGTTTTCATCTGGATATCATGAACTGGACTGACAGACGGGCTGGCGGATGGACTGACGGTCAACGAACTGGCTCCCTTTATACCCCACCCTAAACTTCGTTTGTGGGGGTACAAATATTTTAGTAAGAAAGAAAAAAATCAAAGTAAAGTAGATCTACAGACATTGAATGCAAAATGTTTGCAAATTTTCGTTACATTAACAGAAGATGGCACAAAATGCGCGAAATCATCGCTAACCCTACTAAAATGAAAGAAAAGAATAAATGTTTGGTGGTGCTATATCCTGAGTTTATATATTATTCACATGCCTCAAATAAAAGTAGCAAACTTGTAAATCAGTTTGCAAATATTCCAATATATGTATGTAAACTATGTGATTGAATTGTGTTTAAAGAATATACTGTATTTTTTCACCCTATTTGTTTGTTAAAAGTGTTCACATCGACACTGTTAAGGTAACATGTAAACTTTCCAGCTTTACCTGTGGAAGAAGATCTCAAATCATTTGTCTGTCTTTCCAAATTTTTAGACAGGTCTGAAAGTCCATCCTCACACTTTTTGTTGATCTCATCTGTAATCACCAATAAGTTATCTAAACCGGAAGTTTTATTCTCAAGGTCATTCCTGATATTTCGTACATCTGCTGCAATGCTTCTTATACTCTCTGTTTAGCAAAAATAAAAATAAAATAGATATATATTTATTATTTTAACATCACAAAATGGTAAAAAGAAAAAAAGAAAGAAGACAAAAAACCTTTACAATGATAGATGAATCCACAGAAGACAGAAGTTAAATATTATGTTGCGAAACTTTTTAATTCGTTTTCTTGTATGATCCATATGCATAAATCAGCACGGACAGTCTTTGTAAATTATATCTCCTGCATTTACCCTTAGAATATGAAACAGAGTGACCACACAAGATTTTTTATTTATGATATCTATATTTAAAAGCAAAATAAAATTCGATTTATCCGCTAGAGGATTAAATCTTTAATTCAAATCTTACAACTTAACATTTTTATAATAACACCCCAGTAGGGCCTCAAAAAGAGTTGTCAGGGGAGACAACTTACACTTGAATATGTCATATATAACGCAGAGCAAATTCTTGGAACGGTCTTTCAATCGTGGCTCACCATAGAAGAGGGAGGTAGACTAGTTTATTTTCGTTAACCCATTACTTCATGAGCATTTTGCGAAAAATGGCTGTTTTCATTGAAAAGTCTCCCGTTACAAGTTCAAATTGCTATAATACTATAAAAACTGCTTCAACACTAATCAAACTTGGCACAAATGTTGACTGGACCATTGTCCTTGCAACAACATGCTCAGGCTTAAATTTTCTGTTACCATGGCAACGAGGGGACATCTCAAAATTGCTAAAAATCACTATTTTTGCGTTGATTTTTTCCATCAAAATTGATTTCAAAGTGCTGCAACTTCTCAATGGATTGAGATAGAGTCAAATGCTTTTCAGCGTTGATTACACGTTACCTTATGATCAATCTGGGGTCATTTACAGCCTCTCACAAGTCCAAAATTTTCTTCTGGCAACCCCCTGATGTATCTTTTGGTTGGGGGGCCGCGCCGAAAAAGAGGTCACTTTTTTTACACCATTTCTCAAACAAAAACAAGTGTTTGGGGCCTAAATAAGGCATTTTTTCATCATTTGAGACAACAAAAAGGGGGGGGGGTGAAAAAGGCGTTAAAAGGCGTGTATATGAAGTAATGGGTTAACAGAAAATGATGAAAATACTTGAAATTACCCTAAATGGCGTTTATTCATGTTTAAACATGGCCTGTCATATAAATTTGAAGAAAAATTGTTGTTTTGTAGATTTTTTTATTTTTTTCATTAACAGAAAATGATGAAAATACTTGAAATTACCCTAAATGGCGTTTATTCATGTTTAAACATGGCCTGTCATATAAATTTGAAGAAAAATTGTTGTTTTGTAGATTTTTTTATTTTTTTCATTAACCCATTACTTCATGAGCATTTTGCGAAAAATGGCTGTCTTCATTGAAAAGTCTCCCGTTACAAGTTCAAATTGCTATAATACTATAAAAACTGCTTCAACACTAATCAAACTTGGCACAAATGTTGACTGGACCATTGTCCTTGCAACAACATGCTCAGGCTTAAATTTTCTGTTACCATGGCAACGAGGGGACATCTCAAAATTGATTTTTTCCATCAAAATTGATTTCAAAGTGCTGCAACTTCTCAATGGATTGAGATAGAGTCAAATGCTTTTCAGCGTTGATTACACGTTACCTTATGATCAATCTGGGGTCATTTACAGCCTCTCACAAGTCCAAAATTTTCTTGGCGAAAATTTTTTCAAACCCCCCAAAACAGAAGGGGGCACATCCCCCTTCTGGCAACCCCCTGATGTATCTTTTGGTTAGGGGGCCGCGCCGAAAAAGAGGTCACTTTTTTTTACACCATTTCTCAAAGAAAAACAAGTGTTTGGGGCCTAAATAAGGCATTTTTTCATCATTTGAGACAACAAAAAGGGGGGGGGGGTGAAAAAGGCGTTAAAAGGCGTGTATATGAAGTAATGGGTTAAAAAATCTAAAATTTACATTTCAAATCTTGAATCCCACCACAAACCCACCCGTTCAATTTCATTGTTTTTCTTTGTTTTTGCTTTCTTCCCTTTCTATTTTCAGATAACACTATATTAGCACGTCATGGCTGGAACAGAAAGATATAGAAAAAGGAGAAGGCTCATAATTCTCAGCGACCGTTATCGGAGCTGATCAATTTGTAAAACAGACATGTAAAGTGATTTCATCATCTGTACCTGTGTACCTTGAGTTGAAGCATGTGCTACCACGTTTTTGCAACCGTTGCCGGGGCAAAAACAGTTATAGTAAAGACATTTAGTAGTCTTAAATCAAAACACATAGACATTTCAATAGGTTAAATAATTAATATGCTTTTATCCAGCCATGGCCATTTTCATGCCTACACGTTTTTATTAATAAATACTAGTACGTTTTTCAGACTGATTTCTCTTTTCTTTTATTCCCAAGTTGTAATGTTTGAATAATGGCCATTTTACGTTAAACATTAATTGGTTTTAAAGATATAATATTTCGTTAGTACGAAATATTAAATCGTTTTGCGAAAAAAATATTTTCTAACGAAATATTAATTTGTATCAAAAAATAATATTTCGTTTTTACGGGTTTAACAGAATCACAATAGACACTTTGACTCTTTCTTGTCGGCTCAATAACCTGCTACTTATGATTTCAAGTGTCTATATATTGTTACACTATTGGGACTCGGACATCAGTCGTTCACAATTGGTAGCACGAGCCTTGGATTCTGAACTTGGGTAATAATGGGCAATATCTGTTATGGGTAGCTATCTTGATCAGCTTCCAGCTGTTGCTTTCCTTTTAAAACACTAATTCTTCTTTTAAAACTTGTGATAATTCATGTGATGCAATCGAACAACTAAGACTTGTGATAAACTTAAAACTTCAATTTATTCATTTAATAAACACCTATATCTTTTCTCTTTCAACAGTCAATCGCAATTATATTTTATACAAGAACAACTTATGTCAACAATACATCACTATTATTCCGTTTACGAAATATTCACTTTCTCTCTCAGACTTGATTTCATTCAACAAAGTCACAAATTCAGACATATAAGGCAGATAAACTTAAATAACCATTCAGCACTGTCAGTAAGCTTTGTAAAACTGCTGCTTTTAAACAATAAAATTATCAGCTTAAAATTACTTAAAATTATACTGATCAAAATGTTAATTCTATGTAAAAACTTGTAGAAAATATTCACCAAAATAAGTTAAAGTACCTTACAGATTGTTGTTTCTCGAATAAAACTTATACTGTATTAAACAAGTTGTGTGCATGAGTGTCCTCGAAAATGACCTCACAACAGTTTATATACTATCCAGACTTCACAAAAACAAAAAAGTGTGGAAGTTCACATTTCAAAACTTGTGAAGTTTGCCAACTTCACATAAAATCATGTGAACCCAGCTTCACATAAAATTATGTGGAACTGTGAAGCTCACAGTCACTGGAAACAAATGAGAATTTTAATATTAATATTACCAATATATCAATAATTATTAGTCTTATCTAATAGAATATAATTAATACAAAAGATTGTAACCTCAAATTTCCTTTTAAGGGGGCTAACAGTTTTAATTGTTGATATAAGTTGCTTGACATCTCTGCATTGACAAGTAAACAATAAAAGGAAGCTGCAGTTGCTAAGCAACTACCCACAATGCAATGCACAGGATGTATACAAACATGGCTCCTTAAACCAGGAAGTAAATTATATAATCCTGCATTTATAGGTACTTCATGCATACAATAAACTGATTTAAGTTAAAAACCTGGCAATTATAGAGCCCTGAATATAAACTTGTTATCCACCATGATTTAAACCCACTAGACAAGAAATGAAAATACAATAAAGCTTTAAAGTTAGGTTCTATCTGTCTCTATTAAGGGGGCGTCCGTGGCCGAGTGGTTAAGGTTGTTGACTTCAAACCACTTGTCGACACAGTATAGGCCATATCGCGACGTTCCAGCTTTACTGATGGAGGAAGACCTCAGGTACCCTTCCGTGCATTATTTCAGAGACGAACGGGTACCTGAGTAGAACCACCGACGTTCCGTAAGCTAGCTGGATAGCTTCCTCACATGAAAGAATCCAAAGTCCCTGTCGGGATTCGAACCCACAGCGGTGAGGGGCAAGTGGTTTGAAGTCAACGACATTAACCACTCGGCCAAGGACGCCCCGAAATCTATATAACTTAAAATATTATACCTCAATTGCATGCGCCCTTCCATATTTAATATGACGTCATCTGGTCCATAAACCGCATACAGACCGGGGGCGGTCCTTAATTCTTATATGGACTGAATGTTCATATTAAATATGGAAGGGCGTATGCAAATGAGGTATAATATTTTATTTTGTTGTTAAATTATTCTTTTTACTGAATTTATTGTTTTGTTTCACATAAATTTATTAAATGTTGATCAAAAGTCACGATTTGTCTTTAAATTGATTATAAATTTTATATTATACAGCTTGTGAAAATCTTTTTTTTTTTTTGCCTTTTTAATTTGATTAACAAAAATTGAATAACAAAAGAAGAGCATGGTTTTTTTTTGCTGTTTCGCTTGAAAATAATAATAAAATATCCGACTAGGGTTTGAGATATTTCACACACTGAACAAATAAATTATTAAAATTGGCAGTAACAAAAGGGATGAAAAGATTTAGATTCGGTATAATATAACAAATAAAACATGGTCTTTCGGGCATAATACAAGTTTACGGACTGGTTGGTCTGACCTTGGAAGCTATATGTCCCTCAGCCGCGCTTCGGGCCATATACCTTCCTCAGTCTGACCAATCAGTCCGTAAACTTGCAAATTGCCCTCAGGGCCATATTTTATTTGTTAAATAATCGCTTGTTGATTACGTTGCAACGAAAACCGTAATAGTAAAGAAAATGGAAACTGTTGTTAAAAGAAATTTTATCCAGGGATTCAAATCAAAAGACGGTCAAAAAGAATTGTTTCATTTTTTTCGTTTTGTCGATTTTATTAAGTTTTAAAATAAAATATCATGTTTTTATGATCTCA